CTGGATTGCTATTGAACTGTCGCGTTTCGCCGGCTGTTTTTTGAATGCTCGGGTTTCCTTGCCCACTGATTCGCTTTGCTTCTGTAGTTGTGTGCTTGAGTTTGCTGTAGTCTTGGCGCAACAAATTGGTTTCGTGTTGATATTGGCGTCTTCTTTCAATGTCCGCCGTTCTTTCTACTTACAAATGGATTGCTAGCTCAAATAACTTTTCCAGTGTAGTCGGATTCTTAATTCATAAAGTCTTGCACTTGGGGCAGTAACCTCGCAAATCACTTGAATTATCTCAGGATCCGGACGGTTTCCATACAAGAGTTTGAAGACGTGAATTTTTCTTAAAATAAAGTCTGAGAGATTTTCGAATTCGTTGTTGGTATATGCTGAAGAGTTCCGTGCCTAAAATTTGGCACGATTTCTTACGAACAGGGAAGGCTTTTACTAAGGCAGGTCTTGAAATTTTCGTAAGTAAAGGGGGACTTCCCAATGCTGACCCAAGAGACTTTTTTCCTATACATTTGAACCAATTGAGCGCTTGGTCCCTCAAAGCGCTGGTAGCTAAGGTGACTTTCTCGAAAACTCATGGACTGGATATAGCACGAAGTGGTCATCCAATTTTTTAAAAAAAATTGGTTACCGGTGAGTTTCCGTCAAAGCTTGCTGCTGGTTTCATCAAAGTGCGCATGGTCTGGACGATGTAAGCAAATCCTTCCAGGGCAGGAGCTGGCATTTCTGGATTCTGAGCCGCTTCTGCAGGCAGCACAGGTTCTTCTTGAAACTCGGCCATGGTTATTCTTCTTCGTTGGGCGCCACTATCAGGTTCAATGTTCCGACTTTCTTTGGGAACATGCAAAGGACCTGACTCGGAACAGGGAGCTTACTAAAGCTATGTTCAATAACTGTGGGAAGTAGACAGGATACACAAGGAAGGGTATACAAAACCCTTTATTTTTCTCTCTTTACAATAACTTCCATACTTCGGAATACAAAGACCCACTATTTGTGGTCTAAACATAAGAATATAAAAATATAACTAAACGCTAACTTAACTTTGAAATAATAAACGTGGAAGATTGGCCTTATATTAACAGGAAGCCGTATGTAGTACAGAGAACTGTTAACACTACAAAACGTTAAAAATTATCAAGAGGATTAAACCTCTGGCCTGGAAGGCAACCAGCAACTGAGTAAAACTTCTAAGGTAAGCGGCCTGCTTCGATTAACTCCTTCCTCTCTCTCGCTTGGCAAAAAGCCACAACTTAAGTACTTGGCGTTCGCCAGACAAACTTTGCATAAATAAGTTAATGCTTTTAATTCTGGCCGGAAGTAGAAAATAAGAAGTGATAGTAAAGATTTAAAATAAAATAAACGTTAGTAAAACTTAAGATCCTTACAAGCATAATTTTAATTCCTAATTATTATTTACATTTTTATTCTCATATACTTAATGACAATAACAGGTAACAAAAATCAAAGAATAATTTTAAATTATACATGAAAGAAAGGTATTTTCTGATTATCTGTAACCGTACCAAAAAGTTACAAATTTGTTAAGAACTTTACAGAGTTTCAAGAACTTGTTGGTGACTAAATTTTTCTAATCTAAATGTACAAAAAGTAACAGCCATTTAAAAAATAGCCACCAAATTGAAAATATGATTTCTTACTGATGCAGTTTAGCTTTTGATATGATTTGTGCTGATTCACCATGTTTGGTCCATGTTTTTTTTCGATGAATCTTATTGTAGATAATTCACGTTTCATCACCAATGATAATTCGTTTTACAAAAGGGTCGACTGCATTATGTTTGAAATGCATATCATAAATATCGATTCATTATGTTCAATGAATTTCTTTTAATCCATGCGGAACACAAATATCAAGCTTCTTAACGAGTTCAAGATATGTGATTTTCAGTTAGTGTGTGCGACAAGTGAAAAATCTCCAAAATAAAATCTTTTAAGCCAATTCTGACACACGTGTTCTGTTATGCGATCAACACCATAAACTTGCACATACTTACTCACAAATATCTCTTTCTGAACCTCAGCCGCTTTCTTGCCTTTATGAAAATAAAAAAGTAAAATGTGTCAAAAATGTTTATTTTCGCACCCCTTGTTTAAATTTGTCCATAAACTAAAAGTTTTAAACAAAATAAACAGAACTTGTTTCTATAGCAACCTAAAAGTCTCAGCTGCCAAATCTCAAATATATATATATATAATTTATTACTAAATAATATTGATTATATTATTCCTAAGATTAATTATAGTAGAATGATCTGAAAAGAGTGAATCCATACGTAGTAGTTCTATTCGAAGATGTTTTTAAGTAACTTGATGCTCTTACTATAATAATCTTAGAGATAATATAATCAATATTATTTAGTAAATAAATTATTATTAACTTATTTTGCGCAAATGCAAAAAGTAGAATAACTTAATTTCACACTAAATGAATTTAAGATCATACAACATATATATATATATATATAAGATTGATAGAAGAATATCAAAACCAAACATATTTGTTTCTATTTGTGCAAATCGAAATTAATTTCTTGTCAACAAAATTATTCTATAATTTCAGTATAATTAAATTTATGTCAGATTATTGATAAAAATTACTTACACCTCCTCTTTGCACACATCATTATTTTGAGAAATTTATTGAAAAATCACAGATTACTATTCAATAACTAACATATTTTATAAAAGTAATATACCTTCAAGTATATTCCAGTAGAAACATTTAGAACTTGGACCATTCCTTTACTGTTTCCAATCTTATGTTATATTAAGGTAAATAAAAATTAAATTTTAAAAGAGAAAAATTTCATGAGTCATTTCAGCAATTTTAAAAATGAAATACTTTAAAAAATGCAAAAATATACTGCAAACATACAATTTTATTATTATCTCCAAGACATCACAAGAATACTTTAATATATGGCTAATGAATTATGTGATACAGCCTCAATTTAATAATGAATAAAAATGAACTACAATATTCAATAAAAAAATAATTAAAAATTAGGTGCAGCTTTAATCAGCTGTCAAAAGTTTGGCTGCAGATTTAACCTTTTAAGAACAGGAATCATTAAAAGATGATTTAATAAATCAGGTGTTGTTAATAAGCAGATGATTTTAAAACTTGACCGTATGCTGGATATTGCAATAAGCTATCCACAGCAGAAAGGTTAGTGTATTTTAACCTTTTAATGAGAATTTTAATTCAGATAAATTATAATACTTCCTCTTTTATATTTTTATTAATATACAGAATAACAAATTTATAGACATGTTTCTCCCATCAAAAAGATCTGATCGCAGGAAATGTAATTAATTAATTTACAGTATATAACTTCATCAGAGTATAAAATGAAATGCTGTAAACCATGTTTACTCATGTATTTTTTATCTTTTTTTTAAATTAATTTTATCGCACAAAAGTTGAGAGGGGGGGAATTTATGAAAAAAATTTAATTTTGAAGGACACAGTTACATTAAGAACATAACAAATGAACAGCATCCATGGATAAAAGACCAGTAACTATCACAATGTTATTGATTTAAAAGAAATTTGCATTCCAATAGGAATACATAGCAATATTAACATTACAATATCTAATAAGATATCTTCATTATCACTACTCCCTAGGACTCAAATTATTCAGTGTTGCTAGAACTACAGTCTGCATTGCCTGCTAAAAGACATCACCATCTTTTTCACCACTGAATCCATCTTTCTATATGCAGTGATCTTCTGATCCATCAATAGTCATTGTTTTCTTGAAGCTCTTTACTATTATTGCTAAGTCTCTCATAATCCATGCACACAAAAATCCAAGAAATAATCAATTAGTAAGATGAAAACAACCACTGTCTGGATGAATCCATTTTAAAATTTAGAATATCTCCCTTTTTGAACACCTTGAGCAAGGGAAAATTATCAGACTATTTCGAAAATTTTCAAAACTTTGTGCTGGAACATTACCCGCAGGGAGTGGAATACACCAGTAAATATGGGAGTTTTCTATATACTACATTCATGACAAATACACAGAGTTTTTTTTTTTAAATTGACACTACTGATAACCATGATTGAAAATTTGCATGAAACACAGGAAAAATTTGAAAATTCAAATCCTTGGTTACAAAAATATCAACAGCAATAGTAATTCAGTCTCTAACTTTATCTATTGCATTACTTGTGAAGTTGTTTTTCTTCATCAACTGATTATAACCACAGCTCTTTGTAAGTTTAGAAGTCATACAACCTATGTAAACCTAACCGGCCTATCAATTGATGCATTGAAAGGTATGATTCATAAGTTTGAAGAAAAAGGATCCTCAGCAGTTTGGTTTGGTAGAGAGCAGAAACTGGTGTCAGAACAGACAGTTCCTGATGTTGTGCCTACATTCACTGATGTCACCCATGGAAACACTTCCCAAAAATTCTTCACTTCTACTCATAAAATGCATGTCGGAGTTAAACTACTGATTATGATAGTTGGGTGGCATTAGATTCTCTGCCACGTTGGAGGTCAACAATGCTTGGCCATGGAGAATTCTGTGGGGAGATGAAGTCCATTTTTATCTAAATGAGACTGTTAACACTCATAATTGTCAAATTTAGGCACCTGCACAATTTATGCAGTTCCATGCAGTTCACGAAATCCCACTGCATTCACCAAAAATCATTGTCTGATGTGGTTTCACAGCAGATTTAATTAATAGACATTTTTTTTTTTTTCTTTTTAGAAAATTACTCAACAGAATCGTCCAACCTATATTATTTCCACATATCTGTATATTACCCTGCAAAAGGTATCATGATAGGCTCACTAGTTTTGTCATTCTACAACTTCATGAAATTCAAGGTCTATTTTGATGGTGTATCAACCTCAACGATTTTAAAGGACAACATATCATAGGCTATGTTGAGCATTCCCGGTCATATTTTATGTCTGGCCACTGAGAATGCAGTCGAGTACGGGATGCAATGTGCGATTCATGATAAGGTAGTCACATAAGAGGGCTATGCCCTTGCCAGGGAAGAAATTTTATGAATAAAGTTCTATGGTGCATTAAAGCGGTGTTGCACTGAAATTTCTTTGTAATTGATTTATCTAATTCTCAGCTGTGCAGACTAAAACTGCACCACATTTCTCCATATCAGCAACTTTCAGAACTAACTTTTGTTTTCACAGAATGCTTTTCTCCATCTCGTCATTAGTCCTCCTACCATACTTGGTGGCATATTAGCCGGTAGATTAAGGTACATACAGCCTGAGTAGCATCTAGCATCAGTTTTAAAACAAATAAATACCCTGTATTTAAATCTATCTGAATTCATAATTTACTTCAGAATGAATTAACCAATAAGAAATATTTTAATGAAGAAAAAGACAGATTTGGTTCCAGTTTTAAAATACACGAAATTCTTTTAAATAGCAAATGTAGTAAAAATTAAATGATTGGATTCCATACTACATAAAAAAGCATGAAAGGCTTAAAGAGAGAGAAAAAATGTTTTAAACTTAATTTTACGCAAAGATCATCTATTATATTGCAGCACTGAAAATTTCTTCATGGAACACTTTTGAAGGGAAACAGGCTATTTATATTTAGCATTAAAAAAAGAAGAATAGGAAGAAGAAGAAACCCCCAACATTTCCAGGCTATTTACTTACCAAGGCTCAAATTTAAGAAAAACTATCAGGTTACAGAATTTTTACACATTCAGTCTCTTGTAGGCTCCACAATCCTATTGGAATTATGTATTTTACACAAAAATTCTACATTCGTCAAGTTGTGGTGGTGCATTTAATTATGGCAAAGCACACTAGGGCTATCTGCCTAAGGGGAGGGATGCCTTCGTGGAGGACTTTCTAAGGGAAACTGGCTTGTATACACATTACAAATGGGGAAAACCACAAAAACACCTATGCAGCCAGCTCGTTCACGAGATTCGAACCTTGGACCGAACTACCAGTGTTCAGCGACTTTACTACTCAGCCGCTGGTGAGCCCTACATTGGTCAAGAAATCGAAAATATTATTTATAATACCTATAATATGTTTAATCATACAGTAATTATATCTGAACTAAAAATATATATAACATATTAAAATGTGTATTTAAATCAAACTACAAAGTAAAAGACACTGTAGATATCATAAACTTAGCCTAAATATTACACTCTGAAAGTTACTTCTCACACTTATTGATCTATGATTAATAATTCTATTTTGCGAAAATATAACAAAAAATATATAAAATTGCTTATGTATGTTAGTTTACTAAAACAGAAAAAATTTTCAATTTGTACAATCATCATAAAATAGTATAATTACTTTTCAGTAGCTTTTTTCATACAATCTTGTATAATTTATTAATGAATGACAATTCCTTAATAAAATACTTTTATGGGCTTTTAATGTACGAAGTTCTGTTTTAATTTGCATCAATTTACACAAAAATTTAGTTTAAAGCAAGAAAATAATTTAAGTAGTTTATTGGATATAACTTATTTTCATAAATCATAAACAAATTTTATGCCATATTATTAAAAAAAAAAAAAAAAAAAGATAACGAAAAGAGTTAAAAATGTATTATTTTTTAATAATCAATATCAATTACTTAATTTAAAATGGTTTTTGATGTGTTAATGGTGATATTATTGAATTGCATTTCTCCTTAATGTTATTCATTACAAAATGTAACTCAATATCTACTTATCATGTACTAAATGGACAGGGGGCTTGATATTTAATAGACAGCAAAAATATTTCATTAAAACTAAAATAAGATTTTGAACTATGTGCTCTATTTTGCATTCAGGATACCACAACCATGTTATTATTCAAAGGCTGAAATGTGCAGCATTGTACAGATGCACTAAATGGATCTTCTACAACTCGTATACACACACCAAGAGCAGCATCCCAAAGTCTTACAGTTGCATCCAGAGAACAAGATAATATTAGATCATTTGAAATTGACCATTCAAAGGCTAGAAATAAATCAGACATACCATTACAACAAATACTAACCTCCAAAAATTACTAAAATCACATAACAACAAGTTGGTTAGCAATAAAGCAACTAAACACAAAAAACAAGTGGTTGATTTTATTTAGACTTTTAAGTTCAAAACAAGTATAAATAGCAAAAGAAAAATTATGAAAAATATTAGAATTGTAATAGCCATAAAAATGCATAAAAATTAATAACTGCAGTGAAATCAATAACTTAACAAGTGCACTTTTTAATTGGAAGTCTAGGTAACCGAATTCAACCTTTATGTGCAATTTTGAGACAAAACATAGTTTTTTTTTAGTTATGTCAGACCTACTGTTGCATGCTTGACTTGCAAAGCAGTGAAAATATCTACATAGTAAGTAAGTTATTACTTTAACAAGAAGAGTTTCTCATTTGCAATTTTCTAAAAATGTTACACAGAATCAAAATTTTATTTTCTACCTATTAGGCTGCTGAGAAAGGTACTGTTCTGTTATCGAGATTCAGAAATGTATGTATGCCAATGTGTATGTATGTGCATATATGTGTGCACATATACACACATATACATTCATGCTTTACATATATACATGCATACATGAACATATGCATTCATACATACATTTCTGGATCCAGTCCCTGATAACAGAGATTACCCTAAGAAAGTTCTGGACATTTCAAAATTTAGTAAAAGGTTTCTTTACTGCACAGTTCTTAAAATTTAACTACAAGGGTACATAACAGACAGTTTATGAGGCAAAATGAAACTGCATTTAGGTCTAAAACATTCTTTAATTATGAGTTCTGATGCACCTTTGAATAAGCCCTATGTTTGTGGCTGACTGATCTATGGCTTCAGATCCACAGTCAGTGTTTCTGAAGCAGGTCAGACTAAAATCACTTTTCATGAGGGTATTGTGAAAAAATATAATGCAGTTTATTTATGTGTTTCTGTGATAGCAATATTGACCCTGAAAACTAGCCTCATCCAGAATCAGCCAATTTTCCTGCAGATTGTGCAGCATGACTCTACACATGACTGTGCAAAATTGCAGGAAAGATAGTGTGTACAATAGCAGTATACTCAATGATCTGCACATACTTGGTTGGAGAAACAAGCATCAGTAATGAAACAATCTGCTCATAATCAAACAGCATAAGGAAACTTTGACTTCTCTGTTGCCTTATTTGAATAAAAATACCTGACTTGTTTCCATCATCATAGAAGATGAAGAAAGGTGCCTGTACGTACGTACAAAAGATAAAGAAAGGTGCCTCTGCATTGTATACATTTTCACAATGAACAAAAAACTGCTTCAACTGAAAAAAGAATCCAATTGCATAAAATGATATTGCGTCTACAGAAAGATTAATAAATCACAATCGTTTAAGAACCGGTCCGTCCATACACTACTACCATCATAAGATTGTATTTCCTATTAGCCAACTGCGGTACCTTGCTGATAAATTTCTTAAGATGAGTTTGTGATACTATTTAAATTATGCACAACTATTTGTGACATACCAGAAATCGCTAGAGCTGTCAGTGAAATTTTTCTTTTTTGAGACATAATTCAGATTTTACACTAAAAGAATTTTCACACATTTTTTGATACAGGCTAACATGCCTAGGTGAATAAATGACAAGTAGACTTCTCAACCAACTCAGGTCCAAAAGGATAGAGTTTAAAATTTGTTTGGTTACCAGGAAATAATCAATGTCAATGCACTTTCTGCAGTAAGCAGCTTTCAGTTTTGCATAAAATAAACATTTAAAGTATGCAATCATCGTAGACAGAGCTTTCCCAGCAACCTAATTTTAAAATATACTAACAACTTAATAAATCAAAATACAAAAGCAATCTATATTTATATGAAAAATGAATTTAGTATCTATGAAAAATTATTTATAATAGAAAAGAGAAAGGAAGATTAAAGAAATGCATTAAAATGCGAAAATTCCATGTAATAAATCAAGCTCCATTCATAGAAAGTAATAGAAGATAAGTAATTTCAAAGATACCTGTTATCCCAGCTTTATGACCAGTGAGAATGTATAAGACACTTGCTGGTGGAGGTGTTAGCTGACAGATGGATAGTTTACCATCCAAAGAGCAACAGGCCAAAAGACTTTTATCATTGTTGGCAAATCTCACAGCAGTCACTAATATTTACAAAAATAAATGCACACAGATTTTAGAATATTAAACTAAAAAAGTTATACAGGTAACCTAATTTCATTAAATTAGACTGATACACATACATTAAAATTCATGAATAAAACATTTAATGTGATTAAGAACAGTTATAATTTGCCCAAGTGAGTACTTAAGGACAATTGTGTTGTAACTAAGACATCCATAACAATAAAATACTGATTTCATTCTTTCAGAATTATAAGTATAAAACAATTCTTTTCCAAGGTCAATTAAACATTAAATTTTTTACATAGCGAAATTTATTATATAAAAGAAAAACTATTACTCACCAGCATCTTTGTGTTGGTCAAAAATATGATGCACACCAGTAAAGGCATAGTTTTCAGAAATGGATGTTCCTCCGGCCATTGCACGGCTGGCATCAGCTAAGCGAGTGGGTACAACTCCATCATCGGTAGTTATACTGGTTCGTCGGGACATCCTCCTCCCTTCAGCTAATGCAATACGGCTTTCAAATGAATCACTTGTCTGTCAAAACATATACTACTATTATAATAGAAAAGTGTAATAAATTTAGGTTAGTTATGTCTTTATTCTATTTAAAATACATAGAGAAAACAAGAATAAAAGGAAGAATGTAGTTTTTTTACAGAAGTAAATTTGTTTATGTTACCACCAATGACAAATTTTTCAAGGTGATGGCAATAGAAGGGTAAATAAATTACAATTATTCTATGGAATGCTAGTTATAAAAGTTATTCCAATGCACAAACACTTAATAAATTAAACTGCCTAAAAATGGATGTTTATGTCAAATCAGACATGAAAGACAAAGATCATTATTTCATGCTATAATATAATGAGTTATATTATGAAAATTACATAGAATTAAAATTATTAAGATTATAAAAAAGATGAAAATTAACAAGTACCATTTTACATCAAAGTCTTAAGGAAGAATGCTTTTATTGAAATTAGAAGAATGCTTCCACTTCCAATGCCACTATTTATTTAAATAAATAAATACACAAAAAGAAAGAAAATCTGAAATGATTCAGATTTTAACACTGCACCAGGGGGTTTGCTGAGCTCACAGTTTCCCAATTTGTTTGCTCTTAGACTCACTCTTGTTGACTCAACTTTTTAGTCTTCTTACCTTTATTATTAAGCATCACTATCTTTACACTTACACCACACGAAATTCAATAGCAAAATCACAAAATTTTAAAAACAACACATCTTTAGAACTGTTGATATAGTGTTAAGGGTTAGCATACATTTTTTAGTCCCAAAGGACTATTACTCTTTTTTGCTGAATCAAATTTCTTGTTAGTTTCACACAACTAACCACTATAATTAATAAAAACAAATACAAATACATTATACTTTTAATAAACCCAGCTAGTGTTATTTCTCAGGCTCAGCTGGTAATTACTAAACGAAATAAAGAACTGAATTTATCACTTTTAAATACTTAGTTTGTTAGTCAATAATAGGCAGATTAAATTTAAAAGAATATTTAAATATCTTACACCCTGCAAAAAAAAAAAAAACGGGGGACGAATTAAATATTTTACATCAGATATTTTTAGAATTCCTGACAAATGTTGTCAGACACTTTTTTATATTTGCTATATTATTTCTCTAAAAATCATACATGGCAATATCATTTGAAGGCAACATCCTTCTATTTTCATTATCATACACTTTTTTTTTTATATTTGCTATATTACTTCTTTAAAAAAATAATATACAGAAATAGCATGTAGTGGCAACATCTTTTTATGTGTGTTGCCATATATTTTAAAAATATTTTCCATATTATTTAAAATTAATATATGTCGATAACATTTGAAAAGTACTTAAGGCAATAACATTTAAAAATAAAAACACAAAGGATAGGGCAAAATCAAAGTTGAGACTGAAGCATTTCGGTACCAAATAAACCTGATTAAAAAATGATTTTTACCATCAAAAGAGGATCTCTTACAATTTCCTTCATAAATATTTGCCTCACATTTCAGTGTGCAACAGAAATTTAACTGAGTTATCTAAGTTTTCATCCTTTCTACATTCAAAATTTTTAGATAGATTTTTGTTTCTCTCCCTATATATATATATTATATATATATAAATTTCCTATAAGGCAAGGGAACATTTTTATCATATTTTATTTCAATAAAGATTATACAACATTCTTCTTCTACTCAAATGTACTAAATATGAATAAAAGCAAAATGTATAATCTTCGTATTCAATTCAATTTTACAGGAAAAATACACTTTTTCAATAAAACTGAGACAACTTTTACTAATTACAATAATGCTTCTTAATTTACACAAAGCATATATATTATTTAGAATTATACACTATTAAAAACGTGTTTATTGTTTATAAAACACTCAGTTAGTTCAGTCACAGTTAATCACAGACTGATTAAATTAAAAAAAAAAAAAAAAAAAAAAAAAATGTTAAAAATCTTCTTTTTTGCCTAATGGCAAGATCCTAAGAACTAGTAATGCATGAGGCATGTAGAAGAGAAATTAAACATCTTTCCAGGGCTGGCAGTAAGTAAGCGATGCGTGTAACTGATGCAACTGCACCAGGGAGGGGCAGAATTTAAGAGTGGAAAAAAATTTTAGAATGAAGTGAAACAACAAGCAACAAAATTTAGGGATTGTAAAATTTTTGGAATTTAAGGCATGCACTGGAATGTTTTTAATTCAAGGAAGGACCGAGCAGCAGAATTTAAGACCTACAAATATTGCACCGAATGGCAAATTGCCTAGCACTAGCCCTGCATCTTGCATGTCATGCAACAGTAATAATTGTTTCCAAAAAGTGTAGATAAATATATCCACGGTAGCATAATAGTATGGTATAAAAATTCTGGAAAAGGATATCCCTAGTGGCAAAACAATACAATGTGCAATTAAAATGACTAATAAAATTTAAGAGATTATGTTTCATATAAAAAAAAAAAATCCCTTTTGCGGAAAGGGAAGTAACATAAAGAAATCATGTTTGTTAGGCCATTTCTAGAATAGGAGCATGTGCTCATCTTATAGATTAAACAAATAATCGTAGGCTTTTTATATAGCTTACAATTAATTTTACTTACAGCTACATATTTGCAAAACATGTGATAAATATAAGTTAAAATCCATTTAATAGCTTTTTATATTAGGTACTGTATCTTGCATGCAATTTTAATCAACAAAAAATCAGCATTTTTCTTAAACTTAGATCATTACATAACCTACCCAAAAATAATACATTAAATAGAAAAATGTATACTGTATAAATGCATACAACTTTTTCTTTTGTATCACATAACAAATTCTGAAAATTATTTCCACCAAAATTCCCCTCATTATTAATTTAGGGAAAATTTAGTTTGAAAAAGAATTAAATCAAGCTTTCACAGAAATTTCTGTATTTTTGTTAAAATATTCTAATACACTTAAATTTTCATATTTCAGAGGTGGTAACTGATTAGTTAACTGGTATATTAGTGAAAAATTGACTTGTAAATACAATTTTATAAGAAGGGAGAAACTGCTGCTATTAATCAAAGCAAGAATTCCACTAGAAATTTTAGAAATGTAAAATGAATAGCAAAATATTTCATAAAAGAGGTTATAGTGTAACTAATATTCATATATTATAATTACTAAACACTAAAAATATAATTATATATATGCAAATATATAAAAATACAAGAAAATATTTACTTCTAATGTGACTCGACTATTACTTCGAGCACCCATACTTCGACTTCTGAGACTCCTATACAAAGGGAGTTTCATAACTGTAATCATTTTCCAATTAATGTAACAGAAATATTTAGAATTTATTTTAAAATAAATATTTCAGGAAAGCAATTTTTTCCAAAGAATAAATAAAATATTAATTCTAATGGATTAATGCAAAAATAAATAAATGAACATTTTATTCCTACTAAATAACTCTACTCAGAGAAAAAGATGTTTAAATAATATTACAAATAGAAAAACTAATACAATACAAAGTCTTTAATCCGGACCTCAAAGCTACAAACTTTCTGTTGTAAAGAACGCTCCTGAACTCTACTAGAAAGACCTATGATGCTCTTGACTAGAGAGAACGTCGTTAGCAAACTCCTCACACTACGAGTACTATAATTCATTTTAACAGCTTATTTAAAGAACTGTGAATGGCAACGACTTAACTGAGGAACACGCATGCGTTAAGAGATGAGATTTCTGTCAGACGCCTGTCAGAGAAGAGAGAGTTTTGGGAAGCTCCACCAGCGAGCTGAGGTGTGAGACTATTTGTCAGTGATGACGAGTGCTATCTTCGTTACGTCTCTGATCGTGTCACCACTCGGATATGTACTCAAGTTTTCTAATGTATGAATTAATGTTGTATCTGTGTTTGTTGTGTAATTAAAGTGATTATCACCAATACCAGTGTTGATTCCGTTCCCACTGAAGCATCCACGACGTCACACTGTGAATGGGTAGCATTTACGCATGCACTTAATACCTTTACGCATACGCATGCACGTTTAATGTATAACGGACAGTATAAGCTAGGCTAAAATTATCTAATTATCTATTTCAGTTAATGTTGCAGATTGTGATGTTCCTTAATCTTCTAATTGGATCTGGCTTATTATTTTTTTGCAGACTGCTAGAGCAATTTTATAAAAAGTAAGTTTGAACTTTCGATTATGTCAAAAAGAGTTTCCAATTCTGGAGCTGCCAAAGGATCTACAAAGCGAAAGCATGTTTCGATGTCCATCAAACAAAAAGTGGAATTGCTGCAAAAAATGGATAAAGGCATGAAGAAAGTGACATAGAGGTTAGTGAAAACGAAAAAATTTCGATTGACAAGTTAGTAGCTATTTTCAGCACAGTAATTACAGAACTTGAACGGCGGAACTTTGTAAATGAACAAGAAATTATGTCTGTTTATAGAATTAAAGAGAAAGTATTAGCACATAAAATGAAGTAACTTAAACAACTTACATTGAAAGAAATGCTTAATAAAGTAAACAAATAAATATTAAGCTTTTTTATGTAAATTTTGATACCCTTTAGATCATAATTGCTCTTTTTTCATAAATTACGGTTTCATATTTTTAATTTTATAATTTCTGCATGCAATCTTACCAGATTGAAATTGATGATCTATAATCGGGAAAAACCCCTAATCTGGAATCGCAAAAGTCCCGACGAGTCCGGATTAAAGACTTTGTACTGTATAGGTTCTCTTAGATTTAGCACAGAATTATAAAAATGATTTTGAGAAACAGGGATTAAAAAAGTAAGATATTATCTTACTACAAACATAAAATGATATTTTAGATTCTGATCATTATTTACATAAATATAATCTATCTCAGATGGGAACAAAACATTTAAATAATTTTCTTACATGAAGAATTAACTGCTACTTCAAATCCAAAAGTACTGCTAAATTCTCATAATCTAACTTTACTAACTTCTCTACCCATATATTACTCATTATAATACAGTTAAAAGGTATGAATATAGTTAAAATATAGTAAAGGTATGAATATAATTAAAAATCACATTCCTTCTTTGCAAATCTGCATACACACATTTCTTCTACCTTTGATTTTTAAATATAATGCATTTTACTGCACGCTCGAAGTTCACCTTTTTTTGGCTAATAAAAATTTCTGCTTTTAAATTATAGTGGTTTTCCATTGCAAATATTTATTATACTTACTATTTTCAATTTATCATCAACTGGAAATAAGACTATAATTTTTTTACAAGAAAAAGATATTTTACCAAAACAAAGAATTTGAAAATGGGCATAATATGCAATCATGTCTTGGAAAAGAAACTATTCGGTGATGTAATATCAGCAGCTATATAAAGAAAGAGAGTCTTTGTGCTGAGAATTGGTTGACACAAATACCTTTTCTTATGGCACTGTATGGGTCAATGAAATGGCAGAAGAAAAGGCACAGGGGTACGGCTCACCATCACCTGGAATCCTAGTGAGTTGAGTTCATACTCAGGCACTTAGTCAATCAAGATATTGTGTTTGAGGCATAATTAGCAGCAACTGCTGAACTGTGGCCACCAGAAAGAGTTCGTCAAAAATGAATTTTCCAGTACATATGATAATTATTTTAATAAACTGCTAACATAATTATATACTAAATTAAATCATATGCTTTGAAATTTATCATTTTGTTTGAAAATAATAATAATTAGTATTGTTTTAGTGTGCTCCTTAGATTATCGCCAAGTTGTTTCATTTATTGCCAAACTGTGGTTTCATTTATGGTAACCTGAGTAGTTGAATGTTATGGAAACCCCATTATGACATGATTGGTTGCATGATTGTGGTGAATTTGACTGACTGGAAAATATTTGTAAGGGCTTATTTCTGCGTTGGATGTCAGTTAGGAAGTATGTTGCTTGTTTTGTGCTGTACACCATACAATGGCTGTATGTGATTAGATTAATCCATAAAGTTTCTGTACCGTTTGGAACAAAAGGCAACAAAAAAAAAAAAAAAAAAAAAAAGCAATAATTGGTGTGTAAACATGGCCAGATTTACATATAAGCTGCAGAAGCTATAGCTTAGGGTCCACACTTTCCTGCCCCCCCAAATTAAAATATAGTATAAATAGTATTAAAAATATTATAACAGACCCCATACCTCACATAGCTTAGGGCCTTATCAAGACTAAATCTGGTTCTGTGTGTAAATAAAGTTTTACTTAGTAGTCAGTATAAGTGTCCTGTATGTATGAAGGAAATGCATATGGTCAAATGTAAAGCTCATTCAAATGGCTTTAAATGGGTTTGTTGCAAGAAATACCACCAACAATCCAGCCACTAAAGAGGATTATTTTTTACTCTTATTTTTGTGCATTTATGTGGTGATGGCAGTATGGTGATGGTATATTCTAGTTCATATAATTTTAAAAAGTTTTTGGATGCTGTTAAGGAATTTTGGGTGCCACAGACTGAAGACACAGAAATTTCTAAATATGGTATGTCGATATTTCCTTTTTGTAGAGCGTATATGCGATAACATGTATTTGCTTTTTTATGTTATTTCATTGAGTGATTTAAAATGCAATTTACTGAGCTTCGATTGGATACAAATTTTCTTCAATTCTGGTGATGAGTAACTTTGTTTTAACATTATATGATGTCATCATTCTCCTGATTTTTTTAAAGCCTTTAACTGCTGTGAGCGGTCTGAGAGACTGCTGAGGATTTTCTAACCATTGCTTACACCCCTAAAAACAGAGAATGGTCCCTGTCCTTCCTCCTACCTTCCCAAACCCATTCCACAAGGTCACATATCCAGTTTCACACTTCTAGCTTTATTATCGTTTCAGTTATCTAGGTTTTTACTTTTTAAGGTGTCTGGGAGACTGCTCACAGCAGGTGCCTACCAGTTTTAGTGAACGATATACGTTATTTAATGGATGCTTGTTTTTCATAAAGTGATAAATGGCTTCAAATTTTACAAGAAAACGTCCCGTATAACTCACTCAAAAAGGAACTGAATATCTTGTCACAATAGTTTTGATGTAGAATAATCTGATTCTGAAGAATCATGTAGTATTCACAGTGAAAGCAAAAGTGAATCTGAGCTTTCTGCAGGTAAATATGATAATTTTTCTAATGAATGTGAATAAAATGATAATTTTTATGGAAAAAGCACTTCAAATGGATCAAAAAAGAACCAAGTTGGGTGGTACGAACAACAAAGCATAACATAATAATTCGACTCCCTGGTCTGAAACATCCTGCAAAAATATGCTTTAGAGCAGAGCCCGAAGATGCTTGGAATTTGTGTTCATACATATTGTTGCAGCCATATCCGGATGCTACAAAACTGAAAAGAAAAAAAAATTATGCTTTTATTAGCTAATCAACTTATTAAACCGCATCTGAAAATCGGAATAACTTCCGCTTTTTTTGCCAAGGGAACTGAAGATAACAATTAGAAGAATCCTTGGACAGAAGGAAATTATGAGAACGCATTTATCAAATAAAAAAGAAAAATTAGAAGAAAGAAAAGCATGTAGTCTGTGCCCACCTTGTAAAGAGAGAAAAACAGCATACAAATGCTTGGAATGCAAAGAACCAGCGTGTCTTCAGTGCTCTCAAAAAATGTGTTTTGACTGTGTATCATCTTATGATTCCTCCTTGTAAACAAAGATATAATCTATTTTTTATTAATAATTAAATTCATTGTTGTAGAATTATGGTTTAATTGACAGTGATACTTTATAAAGTCACATATTTTCATGCAGGTTTAATAAAATCTTTGTCCTTTAAAAAGTTTGTTCCTTAAAACGAGGAAAATAGTCATTTTTCATATGAATTTAACTACATAAAATTAAATGATTTATGCTTACAATATATTGATTTAAATTAATTAGAACTCCATTAATACGCATAAATAAAGTATCTATAGCATTCCTTAAAAAGGTATAAAAGTATGTATTTTTACCATGTTTCTTTAAAGCAGCCTGTAAGACCACAGTCAAGGGAGTGCATAATGCCAAGTTTGTGCAATTTTCCGATGTTTTTTTAAATGAAAATAGATTACTACGTATATGGACACAGATTTTGTGCAATTCTTTGACTTGCTATTTCGGTTTTGTCTAGCGGCCATCTTAAAATTGTGCCTTGCTGGCCAATCACAAATTTTTGCAAAGGGAGCACTGAAATATATATTTACCATAATACAAATGAGTATTTTGCAATGAAAACTACTATGCTGACAAAGTACAATTATGTTTGTTTCTAGTACAAGCACAAATCAGTAATATTTTGTTTTTCACCATTGCTAAAGCATGCCAAATCAAAATTCTTGCCAAGGCCAATGCAGATGATAAGTCCTGAAAATTTAATAGTTGCATTAATATATAGCTAATGATTATAAAATCTGACAGGAAGAAAAAGATAAAAGTATCTTTATTTGGAAAGGGGGATATAATGTTGTGTTATGGTCATATTAATGAAGTAATATGCTGTTCAAAATTTTTATAATGAATACATATTTCAGAACTATTAATATATAATTATTATATAAAAAATGTATGACAGAAAAATATATGCAACTCTCTATTTTAAGATACTGACAAAAAATAATACAAATTAATTTTTAAATGTATTTAGTTAATTTTGAAAATTCCATGCAAGAAGAAACTGCATGTTAAATTATTAAATGTAATGCATAAGTACTACACATGCAAATTTCATATTATTTACATACTCTGATTAAAGTTTACTTCATAAAATGGTTTTAATTTATAACTAATGCATAAATTTAAAAGAAACTCATTTTGGTACAACTCTGATATACGCCCTAATTTCACCAAATGTGGCGATATGTGTTCTGCGCTGGTTTTTGGCGCGATTGCATGTTCTATGGCAACCCTGTTGACGTTGAAAAATTTTTCACTGGAGCTTGTTGTTTCGCATCATGTTGTTGATTCACGTCTGTGTCTGAGAAGATGGGAGGGAAAGATAAAATGGTGGAAGTTGTTGAATTGAAGTTCGGCAAAAGGAAATATCATTGTGGCCATCCTGTTGAGGGGTAGTGGGTATTTGGAGGTGTGGAAAGAGGGTCTGGGAGATTATTTTTAATGGCAGTGCACGATAGAAGTAGGGATTTGTGATTTTATTTATTTGTGAACCATAGTATAAATTTTCTGGATAGTGTGTCTGGCTGTCATGTAAATACGATAGTGATTACGTGGCGGCATGTTAAAGGCGGTATGAAATTTATATTTCTGCTATTCGAAAACGCATTAATTCATGGTAAGTGCATTTTATTTTATCCTTGTTCTTATTTTGTAGAATGTTATGTTCATTGGTTCTTTAGTATGAATTTCTGTCGTTATTGTTGTTTTTTAAATTGTTTGAAATTTATTTTAGTTCATTTTGTTGCTTAGTGTCTAGACTGTGCAATTCGTAGATGTTTTTCAAAGTTGAAATAGAACGCTGTGTACATGGTATTATTTGAAATTTATTGTTGTTATGTTATTTTATTAAAGCGAGGAGTGCGTAGATCGTAGATTCCTTCCTTGCCTAAATTGTGCAATTCGTAGATTTTTTTTAAAGTTTAAACAGGATGCTGTGTACATGGTATTCTTTGAAATTTATTGTTGTTATGTTAATTTATTAAAGCGAGGTGTGCGTAGTTTGTAAATTCGTTCGTTGCCTACATTGTGCCATTCGTAGACTTTTTTTCAAGTTAAAACATGTTGTGTACATGGATTCTTGTCAAATATTTTTGGTTAGAAACTTTACGTTTTTGCTATCTAAATTTTTTGTTTTTCTTTCAGATTTTTAGCTTAAATCGTGTGTTCAAAACGTAGTTTTTGCATGTGCGAAAACCGCGTTTTTGGAGACATTTTAGGCTTTAAATTTCGAAATATAGAAAAAAAAATTTAGATAGCAATATGGCAGCGTGAAGTTTCTTGCCAAAAATGTTTGGCGAGAAATTTGGCGACTTGAGGGCGCATTTTAGAGTAGTTCCCTCATTTTTAGGTAAATGCAATTCCAATACAAAATTGCATAACACATTTAACATTTTATCAAAATTATTTGTAATAAAAAAATGCAACTTACGCCTGATCAAGGGAAACTCCATAACGTTGAGCAAGTAACTGATTACGTAATCGTAAATACTGTTTCCTGGCAACTGGATTATGCTGCTGCAAATCGGAAAGGTATTTTTAAATAAATACATATTAAAGAGACACTGTTATAAAAAAATTAATAAACAATAATTAACAAAGGTTACAAAAGCATTACTTCTTGTTTTGCATTTTCCCTCAGCAGCTGACTTCGACGCCTAATATATAAAGTGCCTATAAAGAAATAAATGCAACATGAAACTGTTCTTATTTTTGTACAAAAGCAGATAATAAATAATATAAGAAATATGTTTTATTAATTATAATATTACAAATGTTTATAAATAATTATTTTAAAAATTATTAAAATAAAAATTTTGATTAGATATGCAGGATGGTGCGCACTGTTTTTACCAGTGTGAGCCTGGAGCTCCACAGAATGTTTTATTAATTATAATATTACAATGTTTATAAAAAATTATTTTAAAATTATTAAAATATAAAAATTTTATTGATTAGATATGCAGGATGGTGCGCACTGTTTTTACCAGTGTGAGCCTGGAGCTCCACAGAATGCATGTGTGCACATTTATGATATATCTACATCTATGGATTCCTAAGAATCAGCAATTGGTATGCTATGGACTGCTGGCTGGTGCAGTTGTGAATTTCAGTGACAAATATCTCCGCTAAACAAATTCTTCACAGACACTCAGCAGGTTTTGTAGCAAAGCAATGAAGATTGCCAGAATTGTCAGTTAGTCGGTACAATTTGGTTTCAATAAAATGGTGTAAGAGTGAACACATGATTTTACTTAAACAGACATTTCCAAATCCTTTGATAACTTGCTTAGGCAATTTGACTTCGCTATCTGATTTTCCATTTGACAGCTCTGGACTACTTCCTCTGGCATTACCTAAAGAACAGAGGCTTTGCAAATTATCAGTGGATAATTGATGAATTAACAACTATCAGGTCTGAAGTACAAGTTATTCCATGGAAAATGTTGAGAAACATTAAGCAAACCTTTCCACACCACTTTAAACCATCAAAACAAAAGAAGGATATTATTTTCAAAGTATATTGCTGTTTGCATTATCCTAATTATATAGTAAAATAAATACCAATGCATAACCCCTTATTTCATAACTACACAAACTTATTACAAGCACTCACTTTCTTTGTGTTACTATCTAAATTTGGAAGTTACCGTATGCACCATCTTGTAGTATTAAAATTAAATTAGTACTCACTTTGCTAAGCAATATACATATAATTTCAAAGATAACTTAAAACTGTATACTATGTGAAATGGCTGCAGTTTGAACACTGGTATTTACCCTGTAGTGGGGAACATAAATTAAAAGATCTAATTTCCTCACATATGAACCACCATTGTGGTAACACAACATGACTATGCAGGATCTGGTCTCCACGCTTTTTTCATATATCAGTAAATAACTGTATCATACCATCATAAACAAGAAACAGCCTCAACAATCATGTTTCACAACAATTACACCAAAAGCTAGGGCGCTCATCAGATGAAAATAAATTGCCGTTTTCCTCCCCCTTCCCCCAATGGGAAGAAAGCTCAAATTAGATTTTTGCTAAATAAAAAGGCTAATATATTATACAGTATAAATTACATAATAATATATTATGTAGTATAAATTTTTGCTTTGAAAGTTTTAAATCTCCTTGAATAAGGAAATCAAGTCACGAATTTTAATTTCTTCCACCTATACTGTTGAAATATGTTATGCCAGTATCCATTCATAGAAAAAGATGCTGCACAAGATGCATTTTTTAAGATTACAACATATGGCACTGAACCACTTATTCAGCAACCAGATATCAACTCAAATGATCAATTGTTTACAGCACTCAGAAGCTACATATAACTTACAGGGTAGTCTATATTTTAGGGTAACCCCTTGGATTATCGCCAAGCTGTTGTTTTATTTATGGTAACATGAGTAGTTTATGTTAATGGTTTGGGAACCCTATTATGATGTGATTGGTTGTAATGCATGATTTTGCTCTGGGAAAAATATTTCTCATGGCTTATTTTTTACTTTACAGTGTAAAATGCCTGCTGGTGGTACAATTAAACTGAAGTTTCTGCCCTATTTTGAATGAATCGGAAAGATAACACTGATTGACTGGAGTGTAAATGAAGAATTAAATGGCTTTGTTGACCTCTCGGTAAATTACACAGCGAGATTTAAGGATTTGGAAACCGAAGCTCATATCAACACTATGGAAGGTATGTGGTGTGGAATAAAATAAAATAGAATTTTTGAGAGAAATGCCACTGGCAGGACAAAGGATATTTTTGATTTTTACTTTTGTGAATTTATGTGGCGACGACAGTATACAGATTCTAGTTCAGATAATTTTAAACAATTTTTGAAATGATTATCTAATGTCAGTACTAATGCTGATAAATATTACATTAACACATAAAAATTGCATGTACTATTCAGATACGAAAAATTTTCAGCTGCACATAAGCAAATCTCAACATTCATTAAATCTCAACATTCATTAGTAACGTCCATGATATAATGCAAGATATAACTTTAGAAAAAAAATCTTTTGATGTAATGCCTTTTACTTTAGCAAATTAAGCCACAAAAAATGCGGATATTTACATCACTTATTAAAAATCATTAATACCTTAATTGAACATATTTGCACTAAATAAAATAAAATAAAATTCTGTTTGTATTCATAGCCAGCCAGTCTGCCATTAAATTTATTGGGTTGATCAAGATTTGATTTAATATTTTTAAGTTAGTCTGTTCCAAAAATAGCAGTTCTTAGTATTATACTTTAATTGTTACTTTTCAATCATTTCAATTCACAAATTGCAACTTATCATCAGTTCCACAAAGCCAAATATAGCGCCTAAAGTAGCTTTACGATGTTAGTATAATATCTATTTAGCTTCCGACGAGTTTTAGTATACAAGACATGGTTAACTTCAAACGAAATTTAACCAAAGATGAACCATTGTTGTTTTAATAGACACTTAAAATGCAGATTTGTTTATTTGTCGGAGGATCATTTCTATGCTTTCGCAAGTAACTGCGGCAAATTAATTAAATATGTCCTTCAACAATTTACAACGCAAATGACAGCAACACAAAATTCATTTCAAACACTGAAACAGCTTAAAAAATGCTTATGATTTTATTAAAAACTCACGGAAATGAGGGTTATTAGGTGCTCGATAGGTGTTATATCGTGCATCCAATGCTAATACTTGCTGCCAGATAGTAGTCATAACTGAAACGGAATTCAGCACATTACGTTAAGCATTAAATGCTACGCCATTTCTAACACCGCATAGCAGCCAGGCAGAAAACCACATTTTTCTATGTTATTAAAAAATTTGTTTACACCTACAGCAGTCTTAGAGATTTTGCAATTCTGCATTTTGCAACTGCTGAGTCTTTCTTCCCCTAAGACATCTGACAACACTTAATTATTAAACTATGGTTACAGTGTCGTTGAATTAATCAGACACAAGAAAACGTATGTAATATGACAAGTAATATTTCAACATTTCAAATATTTTTTCCTTTAAATTATTCAAAATGAAATGAAACTATTATAGAACGACATAGTTAAATTCTTAATATTTATGTAATAAATTAAACTAATTTTGTAACATTCACAAAATTTATCATTCCTGGACACTTTTTTGTCTTTCTTATAATGGCCCTTTAAAATTATGTACTTGATATTATCTGCCATAAAATCCTATTCTTTCAAGTTTCTAAAATAATTTCATAGTAATTTAAGAATAAAAGGAGAGGGGGGGGATAAAATAAATAACGCCATCTTGCTTCCCCTCCAGAGTGGTTGTAGAGGTGGAGTAAGGATTGACAGTGTATTTTAAGGCTCCTTTATCGCAAAAATCTTTTTATTAATATATTTGTGACATTCCCTGTACTATTAGTTAATTTTTATTTTGGACTGAGGATAATGCAAGCTATAAAGTGTGTGGTAGTTGGAGATGGGTAAGTTCTTCCCTTAAGCCAATATTAATTTAAATGTTCACATTTTTTAACTATTTGGGTTAAGTATGTTTACCAATGAACTGAAACGATCTTTTTTGTCAAGAGATGTTGAAGTATTAAAAATCATGTACTTCATGATCAGAAAAAGTAGTTTATATTGAAAAAATGTATCATATGGGGTTAAAAAATCGTACCTTTTTTTCCCTTCAATTATAGTTACGGAAAATATTCCTCATCATTAAGTTAAAACTGTTAAATTTATACTTTGCCGTGATGAATATTGAATAAGGTGAGGCCCTACCTCTTATAAAGTACTGATTCATAAAATTATATCCGTGTTTTGCAATAAAGTATTTTATGCAGGTGTTTGCTGTATATAAACTTTAGTTGATGCCAGTACTATTACTTAGAAACGTGTAGATTTTTACTGTCTTATAGTGTTTTTCTTATGATTAATTCCAAGACATATTTTTTATTTAGATTGTTGCATAATTTTTTAGTGAGAACGTATGTAATTATCAGCGAATTTCATGCTTATGATTCTTATTTTGCTATGAGCAAGGCCCATAGGGAAAAAAAAAGAATTAAGAAAGATTAATTTCGTGTAGAAGAGTCTATATTTTTTATGTCTTATCATTCATTCTTAGAACTGGAAGATCATATTAATAAAATTAATTTTTCTAGAAAAATGATGTGTTTTTCACATTACATATTGGATTCATGATATGTGATTGTTTTCATTTGAGTGTTGAAAAATAGCCAAGTTTTTCATTTAAGATAGTTAATGACACTGTGCATTCTAATCATTCACTATTCTAGTTCAGATTTCAGCTACCAAATTTCTCTTAGTTATAACCAAGTTTTAGCATGAATAAATAGAATATATATAATCGTGGAGTCGTTATATTTGAGTAATTAATCTACTTTTGTGTTTTCTACAATACATGTAAAGGATAAAATTTATTATTTTCATCATCGATAATTTAAACAATATTCATTGCTTTCGGAGAGGTTTAAAAGTAATGTTAGTGTTAATTTTATTAATTGGGATTTGATATCAGTTGCTGTTTATACTTTTAACAGTATGAAACGTTAAGTAAATTGGTTAAAATATTAGACAGCTTCACCTATAAGATGAACCTGGAAATTTAAAGACGTTTCACAAGGGGGGGGGAATGACCCATTAAAATGGTTCATGCAGTTAAGCTTAGATAGGTTAAAGTATTTTATGAGAAAGGTCATTTTAAAATTTAATACATGTAAGCTAAGTTAACTATGTTTTCCTTTAACCTTTTCGCGACGGTGCACCTTTGTTTAAGACGCTCGTGCGGGACGGAAGAGAATCGAAGGCAGTCACCATACAGGACGGAGGTTTTGCATTGCTAAGCCTAATTTTATAACAAAAATCAGAAAAACAAAAGTTTGGCTTCTAGCATCGTAATTTTTGGTATCATTTTAGATTATTACTTGAGCTCTTATATATGTTAAAATTAGCCCTTAAAACATTTTTTTTCTTTATTTTACATGAAAATATACTTAAAAAATTGCTTATCTTCTAAAATAATTTTTGGAAGCGCTATTTAAATTATTCCAAAGTTTTAATTGATAAAATCCATCAATAAAGTTTAAAATTAATAAAAAGAACACAATAAAGACTATTTACAGTAAGAAGTAACAAAATTTAAAATGAAAACGAGTGTGGTAAATCTCGAAGCACAGAGAAGTATCACTTTGTAACTCTTAGAAAAAGTATCACTTTTTAACTCTTTAGAAAATGAATCAGTACTCTCATTTGTATTAGTAAATGGTTCACTAACCGTACTAGGGTATTCTTCCTCTGATAAATAGCGCCTTCCCGCCATGATAGACTGGAAGTGAGGCTTTCCTAAATAAAAAATGAAGGAACTGAAATATATCTGAAGGCAATGCAAAACGTAAAAAAACTCTGCACAGATCTTCCTAGAAGACTGTACGTAGTAGAGGAAAAAAATAGAATAAAAAAAGGAATTGGATATAAATCAGATACGAGAATGTTTTCATTAGCATGCAGTGATTTAAAGAGTCCACCTCTGTTTACGCTTTCCCTCCACCCTCCCCCCCCAATCCTTGAACAGCTGATGAGTAAAATACCAAAGTGAAGCAGAATATATCAAACTCAAGGTCAGGAACCTAAAACTGTGTTCATTTGAAAAGTAATGGACACAGGATGCCATCTAGTGGCCTTCAGAAAAACGTTCCACCTTAAAATGCGTATACGCGTCACCCGTCCTCTGAATGCGATCTTTACTGATGCGTAGATGGGACGCCCGGCTGTAAGAGATGTTCTTAGGGGATGCGTATATGGGACGCCCGTCCTGAAAGGTTTAACGTAGATGTAAAATAAATTATATTTATGTGTTTTTCATTAACAGTATTCTATTCTTTGTGCAGGAAAAAGGAAAGCTGTTTGGTAAAAGTAGTTAGAGTAGACTGAAGGGTACTTCTCATATTATCACAGTTTCATATATTGCCAAGTTGTTTCATTTATGATAACCTGAATAGTTGAGTCTTTTGTCTTCCCATAAGACATCTGACAATACTTAATTATTAAACTATGGTTACATTGTCATTAAATTAATCAGACACAAGAAAACGTATGTAATATAACAAGTAATATTTCAACATTTCAAACATTTTGATAATTACTTAGAATTGGGTATTCCTTTAACTTTTTAAGTAAAAATATATCGATGTGTACATGGACAAAGTTGAGGGAGTGCGCAATGCCAAGTTTGTGCAATTCTCTGATGTTTTTTTAAGAAAAATAAGTCGACGTGTACATGTATAAAGACAAGGCAGTGCACAATGCCTAGTTTGTGCAATTCTCTGATTTTTTTTAAGTGAAATAGATTGATGTGTACATGGACACAGAATTTGTGCAATTCTTTGACTTCTTATTTTGGTTTTGTGTAGCGGCCATCTTGGAATTGTCCTTTCCTGGTGCCGATCTTGGTGCCAAAAAAGAATCCCCCAAAACACAAGGGGCATCCACTTGTAAATTTTTACCATGGTTTATTACTTATTAAAAGAAAACAGTTTATCAAGTATAAATTTAATTATTAAATAAGGATTATACGATACATTCAACATTATATGTATATGATGAATCTCTTCTTGCAAAAAAAAAAAAAAAAATTTGCACACGAAGAAAGTGATTGATTTTATTGAAACTACGTATACATAAAGCTCGTACACAGGTAATAAAATGGTTATTTATTTATTATTATTCCACCTGCTTAACCTACAGGTCAGTCATGCTATCTTAATCGTTGCACCAACAACCTTTATTGGTTGTTTATCTTTTCAACCTTATTATTGATAAACAGATTTAATATTAGTGTATTACTTTTGTTGGAGCTTCAACTAATGAAATGGTTAAAAATCCAAAACCATTGGACCCATCAATGGCTAGCATTTGCATATTGAGAGTTCAAATCAGCAATCGGTGACCGTTCCCCTGGAGGTAGTGCATGCTTGTAAACTTTGAGGAAAGGAGTGATAAGAATTCCTATTCTGATCCTATGATGCATTCTCCCAGTCATACCTGAACTCGTACTCCAGATCTGCTACAGTTTGGAACGCCTGATCTGGCGGCCTATAAAATTCCATACATGTTCGATTGGCGAAAGTTCTAATGACCTTGCTGACTAAAGAAGAATATCAATAGCTCGCAGACAATTGGGAAATACATATGGGATCTGGCATTATCCTGTTAGCAAATGCTTTCAGGATAGTATGGCATGAAGGGCAGTGCAAATGATCACAGGATATCAATGTTATATGTATTATGTGTAGAATGACAAAGGTTGATTTGTTATAAAAGATAGCATGCCACGCCAGGGATTATGGCTGTGTGCCCCTGTAAAACAGGCTATTTGGCACTGCTGGCCCTTCCACAAACAGATCCATTGATCATCTGCTCTAAGACTAAAGTGGGATTCATCGCAAATTAGCACTATGTGGGATCTGTGAGGAAGGGTAGCAGTTTTGTGAAGAGTAAGTTAAGTATAATTCAGATTTTAATGATGACGAACATGTTGACTGAGGGTTCGTGAAGATCTATAAAAAAATACATGCATGGAACTCGCAAGGGTAATGAATTTAATCCTTATTTTGCTGAGTAATTGTGGTACAAGATGCATAAAAATGATCCTTAAGAACAGTTTTCCTCATTCATAGAAGCCATAAAGAAGGCTTATCCTCCATTGGATGAATAAATAAATTTCTCGAAAATCTGAGTATTTTAGTTTCTGTATAATACACACCTTATTTAATAATTTATAATAGTTCATTGCTTGTGAGCGGTGCCAAGGCTGTGCACGATGCTAAGTTTGTGCAAATGTCCAACTTTTTTTTTTTTTTCAGAGAAAACAGATTGCTATGTGCATGGAGAAAACAGCAGTGATGTATCATATAATATATGTAATGTTTAATGTGCACAGTGCTAAGTTTGTGCAATTCTCTGATTGTTGTGTAAATGGGGAATCAGCCGTAATGTACCGTATAAACTCTTTAGCTTAAATAAAATGCATTCTTAAAAAAAAAAAAATAATAATAATAATTTGGCAAAAATATATTTATGGGTGCCCCGTGGCGATTTTTGGTGGTACATGAATACCGAGTTTGTGAAATACTTTGACTTGTTATTTTGGCTTTGTGTAGGGGCAAATAATCAACGCTACACAAAGCCAAAATAACAAGTCAAAGAATTTCACAAACTCGGTATCCATGTACACATTGACCTATCTTCACTTAAAAAAAATCGGAGAATTGCGCAAACTTGGCATTGCACACTCCCTTTTTCCATGTACACATCAACCTATTTTCACTTAAAAAGTCAAAGGAGCATCCAATTCTACTGTAGAGCCAAATAAAAAATACATAATCTCAATAAACTACATTTTAAATAGAACAATAAGATAACACAAAAAAGGAAATTCATCTCGTGCATCTTAAGCACT